TACCAGAGCGCCAAGTCTAGGTCCAAAAGGCTTCTTAACAGCTTCTACCCCCAAGCCATAAGACTCCTGAACAGCTAATCATGGCTACCCAGACTATTTGCACTGCCCCCCCACCCCACCTCATCCCCCTCTTTTACGCTGCTGCTACTCTGTTTATTATTTATGCATAGACACTTTACTCTACCCACATGTACATATTACCTCGACTAGCCGGTGCCCCCGCACATTGACTCTGTACCGGTACCCCCCTGTATATAGCCTCCCTACTGTTATTTTATTTTACTGCCACTCTTTAGTTATTTGCTTAAATTTTTCACTTATCTATTTTTTACTTAACACTTTTTTAATTTAATTGGTTAAGGGCATGGAAGTAAGCGTTTCACTGTAATGTCTACACCTGTTGTATTCGGCGCATGTGGCAAATTTGATTTGATTTGATTTGTCGGAACTCAAGACTGTTGGAAAAGCATTCCAGGTGAAGCTGGTTGAGAGAATGCCAAGAATGTGCAAAGCTGTCATCAAGGCAAAGAGTGGCTATTTGAAGAATCTCAAATATAAAATATATTTTGATTTGTTTAACAGTTTTTTGGTTTCTATATGACTCCATATGTGTTATTCATAGTTTTGATGTCTTCACTATTATTCTATAATGTAGAAAATAGTAAAAATAAAGAAAAAACCTTGAACGAGTAGGTGTGTCCAAACTTTTGACTGGTACTGTACATGCTAACAAAAGAGGAATACAATACACAAGAATGGAGCTTTATACAGGGAGTACCAGTACCAGATCAATGTGCAGGGGTACGAGGTATTTGAGGTAGATATTTACATGAAGGCAGGGTAGTGACTAGTCATCAGGATAGATAATAATACAAGTAAAATAGAGAACAGAGTAGCAGCAGCGTATGATGTGCAAAAGTGTGTGTATCTGTGTGTGTGTGTAATGTGTGTGTGTGTGTAGTGTTTGTGAATATGTGTGGGTTTTGTATGAGAGTGTCAGTGTAGTGTGTGTAAGTGAGTGTGTGTGTATATATAGTCTTGTGAGTGTGCATAGAGTCAGTGCAAGATTGGGTCAGTGCAGATAGTCAGGGTAACCATTTAATTAAATATTTAGCAGTCTTATGGTTATTTAGCAATCTTATGGCTTGGGGGTCAAACCGGTCTCGGAGCCTGATGGTCCGAGAGCCGATGCTTCGGTACCGTTTGCTGGACGGTAGCATACGTGAGCAGTCTATGGCTAGGGTGGCTGGAGTCTTGGGCAATTTTTCGGGGTCTTTCCCTGATATAGAGGTAGGGAGCTCGGCCCCAGTGATGTACTGGGCTATTCGCACCACCCTCTGTAGCACTTTGCAGTCGAGGGCGGTGCATTTGCCATACCAAGTGGTGATGCAGCCAGTCAAGATGCTCTCGATGGTGCAGCTGTATAACTTTTTGAGGATCCGAGGGCCCATGCCAAATCTTTTCAGCCTCCTGAGGGGGAAGAGGCGCTGTCGTGCCCTCTTCACGACTGTGTGGGTGTGTGTGGACCATGTTAAGTCTTTAGTGATGTGGACGCCAAGGAACTTGAAGCTCTCGACCCTCTCCACTACAGCCTTGTCGATGTGGATGGGGGCGTGCTCTCCCCTCTTTCTCCTGTAGTCCACTATCAGCTCCTTGGTCTTACTGATGTTAAGGGAGAGGTTGTTGTCCTGACACCACACCACAAGTCTCTGACCTCCTCCCTGTAGGCTGTCTCATCGCCGTCGGTGACCAGGCCTACCACCATCGTGTGGTCAGCAAACTTGATGTTGGTGTTGGAGTCGTGCGTGGCCATGCAGTCGTGGGTGAACAGGGAGTAGCCTACAGGAGGGGACTAAGCACACACCCCTGAGGGCCCCCCATGTTGAGGGTCAGCGTGGAGGAGGTGTTGTTGCCTACTCTCACCACCTGGGGCTGGCCGGTCAGGAAGTCCAGGATCCAGTTGCAGAGGGAGATGTTCGGTCTCAGGGTCCCCAGCTTGGTGATTTGCTTGGGACTATGGTGTTGAACGCTCATCTATGAAGAGCATTCTCACATAGTTATTTCCCCTCTTGTCCAGGTGGGAGAGGGCAGTGTGAAGTGCAATTGAGATTGTGTCATCTGTGGATCTGTTAGGGCGGTGTGCGAATTGTGGGTCCAGGGTGTCTGGGATGATGGTGTTGATGTGTGTCATGACCAGCCCTTCAAAGCAGTTCATAATTACAGATGTGAGTGCTACAGGGCGATAGTCATTAGGTAGGTTACCTTGAAGTTCTTGGGAACAGGGATAATGGTGGTCAACTTGAAACATGTTGGGATTAAAGACTGGGACAAGGAGAAATTGAAAATGTCCGTGAAGACACTTGCCAGCTGGTCTGCGCATGGTTTGAGAACACGCCCTGGTATTCCATCTGGCCCAGCGGCCTTGCGAGTGTTAACCTGTTTAAAACGTTTACTCACATCGGCCATGGAGAGCGAGATCACACAGTCATCCGGAACAACAGGAGCTTGCAAGACTCAAGTGTTGTATTCCTTGAAGCGAGCATAAAAGGCATTTAGCTCGTTTGGGAGTTCCGCATCCCACGGCTTGGTTTCCCTTTGTAATCCGTTATCGTCTACAAGCCCTGCCACATATGACGAGCTTCAGAGCTGGTGTAATAGGATTCCACCTTCCTCCCATATTGTCCTTTTGCATGTTTGATGTCTCATCGGATGTCGTAGTGGTCGTACTACAGTTGGGGAAAAAAGTATTTAGTCAGCCACCAATTGTGCAAGTTCTCCCACTTAAAAAGATGAGAGAGGCCTGTAATTTTCATCATAGGTACACGTCAACTATGACAGACAAATTGAGGAAAGAAATCCAGAAAATCACATTGTAGGATTTTTAATGAATTTATTTGCAAATTATGGTGGAAAATAAGTATTTGGTCACCTACAAACAAGCAAGATTTCTGGCTCTCACAGACCTGTAACTTCTTCTTTAAGAGGCTCCTCTGTCCTCCACTCGTTACCTGTATTAATGGCACCTGTTTGAACTTGTTATCAGTATAAAAGACACCTGTCCACAACCTCAAACAGTCACACTCCAAACTCCACTATGGCCAAGACCAAAGAGCTGTCAAAGGACACCAGAAACAAAATTGTAGACCTGCACCAGGCTGGGAAGACTGAATCTGCAATAGGTAAGCAGCTTGGTTTGAAGAAATCAACTGTGGGAGCAATTATTAGGAAATGGAAGACATACAAGACCACTGATAATCTCCCTCGATCTGGGGTTCCACGCAAGATCTCACCCCGTGGGGTCAAAATGATCACAAGAACGGTGAGCAAAAATCCCAGAACCACACGGGGGGACCTAGTGAATGACCTGCAGACAGCTGGGACCAAAGTAACAAAGCCTACCATCAGTAACACACTACGCCGCCAGGGACTCAAATCCTGCAGTGCCAGACGTGTCCCCCTGCTTAAGCCAGTACATGTCCAGGCCCGTCTGAAGTTTGCTAGAGTGCATTTGGATGATCCAGAAAAGGATTGGGAGAATGCCATATGGTCAGATGAAACCAAAATAGAACTTTTTGGTAAAAACTCAACTCGTCGTGTTTGGAGGACAAAGAATGCTGAGTTGCATCCAAAGAACACCATACCTACTGTGAAGCATGGGGGTGGAAACATCATGCTTTGGGGCTGTTTTTCTGCAAAGGGACCAGGACGACTGATCCGTGTAAAGGAAAGAATGAATGGGGCCATGTATCATGAGATTTTGAGTGAAAACCTCCTTCCATCAGCAAGGGCATTGAAGATGAAACGTGGCTGGGTCTTTCAGCATGACAATGATCCCAAACACACCGCCCGGGCAACAAAGGAGTGGCTTTGTAAGAAGTATTTCAAGGTCCTGGAGTGGCATAGCCAGTCTCCAGATCTCAACCCCATAGAAAATCTTTGGAGGGAGTTGAAAGTCCGTGTTGCCCAGCGACAGCCCCAAAACATCACTGCTCTAGAGGAGATCTGCATGGAGGAATGGGCCAAAATACCAGCAACAGTGTGTGAAAACCTTGTGAAGACTTACAGAAAACGTTTGACCTGTGTCATTGCCAACAAAGGGTATATAACAAAGTATTGAGAAACTTTTGTTATTGACCAAATACTTATTTTCCACCATAATTTGCAAATAAATTAATTAAAAATCCTACAATGTGATTTTCTGGATTTTTTTCTCCTAATTTTGTCTGTCATAGTTGACGTGTACCTATGATGAAAATTACAGGCCTCTCTCATCTTCTTAAGTGGGAGAACTTGCACAATTGGTGGCTGACTAAATACTTTTTTCCCCCACTGTATATGCGCATAATATTCTGAAAACACACTCAAAGGTGGTTGGGTGATATGCATGTCGATTAGTATATCAATATTTGCATCTTGTGAGAAACCAAATTAAGATGGAATATATACAGTATAATCATGTTAAATTAACTTGCCCTTTACAGGGGAATGAATTTGACATTGACAATGGTTAAAAACAAACAGTTGTAAAATGTGCCTTTTAAAACGAAATTTCAAAGAAACAAATATGTACAAAAACACAATCATGGTCTTAAGGCCACAGTGTTGATTTGATGTGAATGTTTATGATGTTTGCTTCATCTTGGCCAGGTCGCAGTTGTAAATGAGAACTTGTTCTCAACTGGCTTACCTGGTTAAGTAAAGGTGAAAAAAATAAAATAATAATAATAATAATTAATTTCAGTTATGAGTAGCCATGCTATTTCTCTCTCTCTCTCTCTCTCTCTCTCTCTCTCTCTCTCTCTCTCTCTCTCTCTCTCTCTCTCTCTCTCCCTCTCTCTCTCCCTCTCGCTCCCTCTTATCTCTGTCTTTCTCTCTCCCTCACCCTCTCTCTCTCTCCCTCTCTCCTCCTTTCTGGAGATCCCTCCCAGAGTTTTCAGCAGAGGCCTCACTCAGTCACCCTCTAATGCGTCCCAAGACCTGCGGCTGAAAATTGAGGCTTTTCACTGTTGCCATGGCGACGTCTCCACACAAGCAGAAAGAGTGCGAGACGGAGAGGCCCATTGACTCCTACCTTTAGCCATCCTATTGAGGACCATGTCAATCAGAATGTATGTTCCGCTTCTGCCAGCCCCGTCACTGCAAAGCAACCAGAGAGACGAAGACGCTCATTAGTGAGGCAGAAAAAGGACACAGAGTGGATCCCTCAATACAACAGTTAGTGTTTGCCTCTTACATTAAATTAAATAGCTCATTTAGAATGTCTTGTATTATTGCTGTAAAGTCTGTGAGGAAATACAAATGATGAGGAGTGTTTAAAAAGTCAAATATATTACATAGTTTACTGTACAGTATAAATACACGCGGGTACAAATGGGTAATGTATGGTAAATTGCAGTTCTTTCAAATATATTAAATTGAAGATCATAAGATATTAATAAAAGCTATAATAACCATTGCGTAAAAAGTTGTCATCATCATAAAAATATATACATATTTTTCTGCAGTGTTTAGATTTTTAAGAACAAATTATACAAAACATATATACGTGTGTGTGTGTGTGTGGGCGTGTGCAAGCATGTGTGTCTGTGTGTGTGTGTACACATGCATGTGTGTGTGGTCCAAATACTTCTATAGAGAGGACTGGTTTGGAACTGGCATTATGAGGGACAAAAGCTTTCAAAAGCAGCAGCAGCGTGAGCGTGCAGCAGACAGACACCTCAGAAGCAGAGGAAGGCGGCGAGGCCAGAGGCCATTAGCAGAGCGGCTTTGGGGAGCCTGCTTTGCTATTCCACCAGAGATAGGCGCATAAAAAGCCCCTCTTTGTGCCTGCCGGGCATTCAATCTGTCTGCATGTTAATTGCAAACAAGGCGTGCACTATCTCTCTAATAAAGGCAAAGCCAATAAAACAGGAGAGACAGAGAGAGCGGCGTGAGGCGAGGAGTGCCACTGTTTATTTAATCCACTGCTTCTCATTTAGAGACCAGGCAGAGACCTCTATGGCCAGACAGACGGACGGACAGACGGAAAGACAGACAGACAGAAACTCTCAGTGCATGACTGAACACTATTAAAGAGATGGAGGCAGATACCTGCCATAAGAAATAACGAGTGAAGCTTCACTAACTAAACAAAACCAAAAATATATTTGTGCAATATGGTTTCCAAAAGTACACATTTGTATGGTCAGTGAATATGATCCAAAAAATAGAAATATCAATATTTTAGGTAACTGTGTGTCTAACTGTGTCTTCCTATGCTCTCTTCTGTATTTATTTGGACAGTGAAGCTAAAACGTTTAATTTGTCTTTATACTTTATATTTGAGATCAAATGTTTCATATGAGGCGACAGTACAGAATGTTACCTTTTATATGAGGGTATTTTCGTGCATATCTGTTTTACAGTTTAGAAATGAGAGACCTTTATTTATCTAGTCCCCCCATTTGAAGGGCAGGTTGACGGTTATTGGGATTAATCTTGTCCTGGAGGCAGAGTAATTTCCGCTAGATGGGCCAGCTGCAAAGTTAAAATTGCCTATATATCATAACAATTCATGAAAACAAAAAAAATGCTTTTTGTTCTTAATTTAAGGTTAGGGTTAGGCATAAGGTTAGCAGTGTCGTTAAGGTTAGGGTTAAGGTCAGGGTTAGGATTTTGTGACCATGCCAACTACTGACTACCCTGCAGAGCTGCCTCCAGTACATGAGTCATCCCAATTAATGCCAACATGCATTTGAAGGTGTCATAAGTACACTTTTACTGTATGTGTAATAAAATAGTCAAAAGTTCAGTATTTGGTCCCATATTCCTAGCATGCAATGACTACATCAAGCTTGTGATTCTACAAATGTCATTATGAATGAATTGTGAATAATTATGAGTGAGAACGTTACAGAGGCACAAAGATCATACCCCCAAGACATGCTAACCTCTCACCATTACCAATAACGGTGGAGGTTACCATTTTCTTTGGGAGGGAGGGGGGGGGGGGGGGGGGGGGGTATGATATCTATGCCTCTGTAACTTTCTCACTCATCATTATTCACAATACATTAATGAATATCCATAATCATGGTAGCATCCACATCAATGTAGAGGTGTTGAAAAACACATTCAATTCTTATTTACAATAAAAGTGACAAAAAAATGACACAATACATTATTTACCATTAATGTCTATTGGGCACAACATAATCTGAAGCACAACCAAAACAAACTGCAATCGCACCCAACAAGTTTGAAGAGTCACAATCTTGATGTAGTCATTGCCTGCTAGGAATATGGAACCAAATACAAAAAAATGGCACTACTTTAATACACATATAGGTGAATTAAATACTTATGACACCTTCAAATGGGGTGACTAGATACATAAAGTGCTTTCATTTCTAAATGGTAAAACTGATATGTATGAAAATACCCTCAAATAAAAGGTGACATTCTGTACTGTTGCCTCATATGAAACATTTGATCTCAAATCCAAAATGCTGAAATATAGAGTCAAATAATATGTTTTAACTTCACTGTCCAAATAAATACGTAGTGGAGTGTATATACTCAGTCTGTCATGCAATGCAATTGACACCCATTCAGCCAGTGCATCGTTACAAGGTTATAATTATTGTAGTATACTTGCCTGCAGTGGACAATTATTGGACAAGACCGACCCCGGTAGCACTTGTTAACCTTTCTGTAATGAAACAGAAGAGAGTCTGCTATTAATGTCACACTTCAAAACAATATAGGAGCACATCTGCTAAATTCTGCTAGATAAAAGACATATAGTATATTGTACATCACCAAATCAAATATGTAGATGACTCACAAAAAAGGGTCACATGCTGCTTACTGTATTTCATTGATGAGGAAAAATTCAGTTTATACTTTTAGAGGCAATAAAAAAGGATGAAACAAAAATTCTGTAATTCAGTAATGTTTGAACCTTACCTTTGCCAATCAAAATAATGTGAGGACAAAAGTATTCCATGTTGAACAATGAGAATGAATGAAGGGTAATTTAAAACACCATATTGTGACATGTATTTACTGCCGTGATGGATGCGGTGGTGAGATGTCGTGATCCGCGACGCATTAACCTTGCACAATTATGAATGTTACACACCACAGACACACAGTGGGAGCCAACTAGCCGTCTATTGCCATGGAAACTACTGGCTACATCGGTTCTGTTTTTTTCTAACTTCAATTAAATTTAAAAAGAAAAAAAAATGTCTAACCCTACACAGGAATATTATCATTTGGGCTCCCGAGTGGCGCAGCGGTCTAAGGCACTGCATCTCAGTGCTTGAGGCGTCACTACAGACCCCCTGGTTCAATTCCAGGCTGTATCACAACAGGCCGTGATTGGGAGTACCATAGGGCGGCGCACAATTGGCCCAGGTTTGGCTGGTGTAGGCCGTCATTGTAAATAAGAATTTGTTCTTAATTGACTTGCCTAGTAAAATAAATATATACAGTAATTTATGAAATACTAGCATTGTATGTGATATACAGTAGCATATAATCGTTGTGACCTAGTATACATTTAAAACGAACCATACTCCATTCATTACATATTTTTAAATTAACATTTCAATTAATAAGACCTAAACACTTTTTGAATAATAAGAAGGAACATTTGTTTGTGAAAGAAAAACAAAAAAAAAGTAGGATGAAAATAAAATGCATTTTACAGGTAATTCATCAAACAAACCAGACATTTTGAGTAGTTTGAGAGTGAACAGAGTAGGTGGGAGTTATTATGCAAACCAAAGGGGTGGAAAAGTGAAAGTGAGAGGAGCGGAGAGAGAGAAAGTGTGTGCACAGGCCTGGCTGAAGAGACACGGTTTCCAATGATCACTTTTGTGACTATGCAACTGGGCTCATATTACTAGCTGCAACATCACAAAAATGACACTGGCAACCGCTAATTTCTTAGTTGGCCAAAACCGCTACATGAGTGGTGCATTGTGGTTATGAGGGTCACGGGTGGGATCTGAACCCTGATCTCCTGCTCTGGAAACCAACGTCTTAATCATTAGACCAAGAGGACATTTCCTCATGGGCTGAGGGTGACACTGATTTTGAAGTCGCAGGTAAGGCTACCTTATCATGAGAGCGCGAATCCTACTCACCTCCTCTACATGAGGCCCCTACCGTAGTGAGAGAGCTGGATACCAAATGACCTCTAGTGTGATAGCAATTACCCTTTTAGCATGGTGAGCTCTCTCTAACCTGCATAGCTTCTCCAATTAGATGGACATCCAACATACCAGCCAATGAGCAAGCCCTGCCACAGCTGAGTTCTGTATTTGTTATAAAACATGAAGCAAACTCAGTATTTTGACTCAGCCAGTTGGGTTGCTTGAATAACCCAACAAGTTGGGTTGTTGGGATTACCCCAAACATGGGTTAATTTAACCATCAGTTGGGTATTTCTTACTCTCATGCTGGGTTGACCTAGCAGCTGGGTCTTTTTTAAAGTAATCCTTAGGTTACTTTGAGGAGGCATGGCGTATTAGGGTGTGGCTTTCAGCTAGATCTTATTGGCCACTCGTGAGAGTAAATGTCATTCTGTTCATTATGTTAAGTTCACATAATACAAATTCAAATGTTCCCATTTGTGGGTTGTGGGTTCGTTTCCTACGGGGGGCCAGTATGAAAATGTATGCACTCACTAACTGTAAGTCGCTCTGGATAAGAGTGTCTGCTAAATGACTAAAATGTCAAATTAACAGGAATAACATTTATTCTCATGGGTGGATAAAAATAACTAGCTGAAAGCCTCACCCCTACTAAACTACGCCTCCAGTCTTCAGATCTGACCCGCTGGGGCATATCTCAATAACCCAGCACCCAGCATCAATAACCCAGTAGTTATTAAAGAAAACAACCCAACTAAGTGACCCAATGCCTGCAACACAGCAGTTGGGTCAACCAAACAACCCAGCATGTTTTAGAGTGTAGGTACGAGCTTTCAGCACCAGTAGAGGTCAGAGAGGTTTCAGATGATAGGATAAAGAATTAGTGCCTTTCTTGGACATCATTATTTTGCACTTCAGTCTGAAATACAGCACAAATAGGAGAAGAAAAAAATCACAGAAGAACAAAACAATTCTTAACTTAATTTTTTCTGGTCTAAATTGTGAAGAAGGAGGTTAGAATTCCATCCATCCACACATCTGAAGGCACATATTCTCATTTGGAGTGGGATTTCCAATTCCTTTCAGGGTGTTTCCCTGGGGGCCTATTGCGGCTCCTCTGCCAGCATACATCAGATGAAGAACATGGAGGAGAGATTAGACAGTCATTGGCTTTCCCTTCCATTCACCTAGGTTTTTCAGCTTGACGTTTACCATTTAATTGGCTGTTTGAATTAAGATTTTTCAAGCCATGCCATGAGGACGGTTAATTTGCTGCCTTGCATGAGCAGAGGAGAGAAAATAGCCCTACGATCAAAGAAGTAGTGCAGAAACATAAGTCTTACAGGAACAACCATATAAAGCCATTCTCTACAGGAGTTAAAGGGAAAAGATCAGCGGAGAGAACAGGTAGACAAGTGGAAGCAGGGCAGCAACAAAAGGAGCGTTATCATATCACAAGCTAACCCCTAAGGTTGCAAAATTCTGGTAACTTTGCAAAAATCCCCAAAAATCCTGGTTGGAAGATTCCCAGAATCAGGAGGGAATAAGCAAGAAATCTGGAAACCTCCACGTGGGATTTCTGGAAAACCTGGGAATTTTGGGAAAGTTACAAGAGACAAAAGGAGCAGCCGTTGGTCAGACGGGGACAGGTGGCCTACCTGCGGAAGTCCAGCATGATCCTGGCTGAGTCAGGGATGCTGCGGTCCACCCAGGAAAGGAAGTGGAACTGCGTGACGGTGCGCGTCTCGTTGGTCTGCAGGTTCTTCAGGTAGAAACTCCTGACCAGGAAGTCCTCACACCAGATGTGTTCTGATACCAGGTTCACCTGCATAGACAAGGGATGGGAGTGAGACAATAGAAATAGAATCAACCAAACGTTCTTAAAACCTCTGGCCATGGCAATTTGACAAGTAAACTCATGGGTACACCCATTATGGCATTATTGACTTGAATAGAGATGTCCCTTCTAGTGATTCTATTTCTGTGGTGAGAACTACAGTATTACCAGGCACAGGTAACTGCCAAAATAAAGGAAACACCAACATAAAGTGTCTTAATAGGGCATTGGGCTACCACGAGCCAGAACAGCTTCAATGCACCTTGGCAAAGATTCTACAAGTGTCTGGAACTCTATTGGAAGGATGCAACGCCATTCTTCCATCATTTGATTGTGGTGGAAAACGCTGTCTCAGGCGCCGCTCCAGAACGTCCCATAAGTGTTCAATTGGGTTGAGATCTGGTGACTGAGACGGCCATGGCATATGGTTTACATAGTTTTCATGCTCATCAAACCGTTCAGTGACCATTCATGCCCTGTGGATGGGGGCATTGTCATCCTATGGGGGCATAGCCATGGTAGCCAAAATAATGGCCTGCCCAGCATTTTTATACATGACCATAACATGCTGACTACACCGGTTACGCGTGTGCGTCCGCGTGCACCATCATGTGCATGTTGATTTTGTCTATACCCACCAGACACGATCACGACACCAACTATATTAATTTGGGGACAGGTTGAAACACACATGAAACATTCATGGACATTAAGCTAGATAGCTGTTGCTAGTAGTTTGTCATGGGAGATGAACATTGAGTTGTTATTTAACCTGATCATGGTCCCCTTTTTAGCTGGTTCTTTGTAGAATTTTGACCTGGATCATACAACAATCATGTGTTTCTCTATTCTGACGATAAATCCACAGATAAAAAGGGAAACCTAGTTAGTTTTTAGTTAGTTATCTTTGATTAATATCTCCTCGTTCGTTTTCAAGCAACCATGTGGGATTTTTCTTTTTCTTTTTTCTTTTTTTCACCTTTATTTAACCAGGTAAGCCAGTTGAGAACAAGTTCTCATTTACAACTGCGACCTGGCCAAGATAAAGCAAAGCAGTGCGATAAAAACAACAACACAGAGTTACATATGGGGTAAAAAAAACATAAAGTCAAAAAATACAACAGAAAATATATATACAGTGTGTGCAAATGTAGCACGTTATGGAGGTAAGGCAATAAATAGGCTATAGTGCAAAATAATTACAATTAGTATTAACACTGGAATGCTAGATGTGCAAGAGATTATGTGCAAATAGAGATACTGGGGTGCAAAAGAGCAAAATAAATAACAATATAGGGATGAGGTAGTTGGGTGGGCTAATTTCAGATGGGCTGTGTACAGGTGCAGTGATCAGTAAGGTGCTCTGACAACTGATGCTTAAAGTTAGTGAGGGAGATAAGAGTCTCCAGCTTCAGAGATTTTTGCAATTCGTTCCAGTCATTGGCAGCAGAGAACTGGAAGGAATGGCGGCCAAAGGAGGTGTTGGCTCTGGGAATGACCAGTGAGATATACCTGCTGGAGCGCAGACTACGGATGGGTGCTGCTATGGTGACCAATGAGCTAAGATAAGGCGGGGATTTGCCTAGCAGTGATTTATAGATGGCCTGGAGCCAGTGGGTTTGACGACGAACATGTAGTGAGGACCAGCCAACAAGAGCGTACAGGTCACAGTGGTGGGTAGTGTATGGGGCTTTGGAGACAAAACGGATGGCACTGTGATAGACTACATCCAATTTGCTGAGTAGAGTGTTGGAGGCTATTTTGTAAATGACATCGCCGAAGTCAAGGATCGGTAGGATAGTCCGTTTTACGAGGGCATGTTTGGCAGCATGAGTGAAGGAGGCTTTGTTGCGAAATAGGAAGCCGATTCTAGATTTAACTTTGGATTGGAGATTCTTAATGTGAGTCTGGAAGGAGAGTTTACAGTCTAACCAGACACCTAGGTATTTGTAGTTGTCCACATACTCTAGGTCAGACCCGTCGAGAGTGGTGATTCTAGTCGGGTGGGCGGGTGTATCCAATAAGGAGGGGACTTGCAGCTCGTGGCGTGTCTCAAATAGAACCAAGTTCTATTTTAACGCTTGGCTATGCAGATGCTCGTTCACGCGTGCGAACGGTGTGGGGGGAAATGATTAAGTAACATATGTGTACATTTATTTTGCACGCTCAGTGCACGCAACTTGGCCAATAAGGTTTGCATGTAAGCATGATGGGATGTTAATTGCTTAATAACTCAGGAACCACACCTGTGTGGAAGCACCTGCTATCAATATACTTTGTATCCCTCATTTACTCAAGTGTTTCCTTTATTTTGGCAGTTACCTGTATATCAATTACTGTAGACTAACTCTCTCTGAGTGATACCCCTGGACCAAATCAACTACAAACAGATATGTGGAAGGACACCATTTCATAAAAATTCAGATGAATAATATCTTAAACAAATAAATAACATCCTAAACAAGGACAATTGTTTTACCTCATATACATGGTAGACATTGAAGCCCTCGTCCGGCCAGTACTGTTGACACTGTTTGACTCCATTTTCAGACAGGGGCGTTAGCATGACGATGACCACACATCCACTCTCCCACACCATCTGAAGACACAAGGGAACATAGGAGGGCTCAAATCTAGTCATATTAACAAAGACAGGGCACTCATACAATATGAGTCAATACAGTAGGAGTTAATACAGTAGGAGTCAATACAGTAGGCGCTAATACAGTAGGAGTTAATACAGTAGGAGTCAATACAGTATGAGTCAATACAGTAGGAGTTAATACACTATGAGTCAATATGCTATGAGTAAATACAGTAGGTGTTAATACAGTAGCAGTTAATACAGTAGGAGTTAATACACTGTGAGTCAATACAGTATGAGTTAATATAGTATGAGTCAATACACTATGAGTCAATACAGTAGTAGTTAATACAGAAAGGTCCCACAGAACATTGACAGCACAAGAAGAACTGTATAATGACGCATTGAGATTGATTGATGTTATGCTATTGAAATTAAATCAATGTTAGTCATTCAGCAGGATAGATACGTTATTATACGATGTACAGGATTGTGTGAGTGAACGTTATTGGTCTGCACCACCACTGACGTGTGATCAGTTGAGCTGTACTACTGTACAGTAGTTCAGAGGAAGTCACACAGCGCCTCCGTGTGCCCCTCACTCTCCCTGCCAACTGAGCTAGCTCAACTGATTCACTCCATTTCATCTTATCACAATCTAATATCTCCTTGGAAGGTAGAAAGGCCCAGTACAGCCATTAGGAAAATGAGGAAGAAACACTGGTTTTATGAGAACAATAAAAATACAATGGTCCTGCCTGTAAACAATAACAAAAGAAGGTGCTATCTAGAACCTAAAAGGTTTCTTCGACTGTCCCCATAGGAGAACCCTTTGAAGAACCCTTTTGGTTCAAGATAGAACCCTTTTGGGTTCAATGTAGAACCCTTTCCACAGAGGGTTCTACATGGAACCAAAAAGGGTTCTACTTCGAACCAAAAAGGGTCCTCCTATGGGGAAAGCCGAAGAACCCTTTTGGAACCCTTTTTTCTGAGAGTGTACCTCTGTGATTCAGCCCAGCAGTGTCATTACAAGCCAACTGTGCCCACGTCTAGGCACGTTGGTAGAAGTACCAAAGAAGAGGCATCAAATGAAATAATCAGTTTTATTTGTCTCATTTGTTTTACTAATTTGCAAATACTGACAGATACACTCTAAGAAAAGAAGGTGCTATTTAAAACCTAAAATGGTTCTTCAGCTGTCCCCATAGGGGAACACTTTGAAGAACCCTTTTGGATCCAGGTAGAACCCTTTTCGTTTCCATGAAGAACCCTTTCCACAGAGGGTTCTACATGGAACCCAAAAGGGTTCTACCTGAAACCAAAAAGGGTTCTCCTATGGGGACAGCCGAAAAATCCTTTTAGAACCCTTTTTTCCCGAAGAGTGTAGAATAAACAAATGAATTCAATATATACTTTTTATTTAATTAACTTCTAAAGTAATTTAGTGACTAGACATCCCTCTCCATTATTGAGCACACAAGCAGAGAATAAAAAGAGAACCAAGTCAAGATCCCTGTTTAGCTCTTTGAACCCTCACGGTGACTGGTTTATTCCCTGAACTCTAAGGAGTGAGCAGAGGGGGAGAGAGAGAGTACAGGGGGAGAGAGAGCAGAGGGGGAGGGAGAGACAAGAGGGAGGATAAGAGAGGGAGAAAGAGAGAGAGAGAGAGTAGCAGAGGGAGAGAGAGAGAGCAGAGCGGGTGAGGCCATGGTTGAGCAGAGGTAATGGCTGGGGACAGAGGAAAGGAGGGAAGGTGGAGGGCTGGGGGTACGAGGGTACGTAGCGAGGGAAAGGAGGGAGGGAGAATGGGAGGGGAGGATTAGAGAGAGCCTTTCAGAGTGCTGCAGGAGCCCAATGCGGATTAGACAGACCAAAGCTAAAGACTCCTCGTCTCCTGCACCTCGCCTCTTATTTACATGTTTTTCTGTTAGTTTATTTGGAAAGAGTTTTTAAGTACATCCAAGGCCAATGTAACTATATTGAAAGTTGAAAGACTCATTACTTATTGCAATCTTTTCAAGTCCATCACTCTGGGTATACTGTAGTTTTGATTTTCAATTATTTGCAAGTTGCGATAAGCTAGTTTTAGTGTAATCTAAGCCAAATATTCAGCTGTAAATGGTTTGAATTACATTTTGATAATGGATATGTTATTTATTCACTTGATGAAATGAAAAACAAACAAACAAGCAAACAATAAGCAACTTTTTCATGAGGTGCTTAAAAATGTTCCATTAAAGAGTAAGGACAGCACATTAACAAAAGCCATTTCAAAATGGTGTATTCAATCAAGGTGCACTTTAAACAAAGGGAAAGCATAATGGCTTGATAAAAGCATAATTGCTGTGTTACAAACCAACCATCTAACATGACACCACTCACACACACACACAGACGCACACAAATGCACGCATATACACACACACACACACACACACACACACACACACACAATTTGCGTCAGAAAGACACCATTAACAAGCATCTCTTTTAAAATGACATCTGCTTTCTCAATAATGAAAACCTTTCCTTCTGTGTGGCATTACAGGAGTACAGACTCCATAATGACATGTATGGACCTACTGTTAGTGTACCTTCAGCTCAACAGGGGGAGTAAAGGGGCCAGCTGGTCTATGGCTGTGTATCCAATGACACCCTATTACCTATATAGTGCACTACTTTTGACCAGTGCACTATAAAGGGAATAGGGTGCCATTTGGGACGAAGGCTGTGCGTGTCTCTGGTCCATGCTTTCATATTACAGACACAACAGTACCACAGCTGATGCATTAATTCGACTCTATGGGAGCAATGGCCATCCTAATGACTGGGGTGCTTTCACATTAATGCATAATAGCACCATTTGGTAACCCGGCATAAATCTGAGGCAGCAAAGCATTGCCGGGTTCCCAGAATAGCTGAAGGTAACTTCAGGTCTAAATGGCAAGCTGGCAAATCTCCCTTGTATTCATATTCACAGAGGTGTAGGCTACTGTCATTTCTTTTGATGTATCATAATGCAACAAACCTTGTTACATGAGGACAATCGTAATAATTAACTGAAAAAGAAAACAATCCTGTAGTCAACCTATGTACATTTCATAGTTTCATTAACCTCTGTAAGTCTAAGCACTTATATTGCAATATCTACTAAGCTAACATATGGAATTGTTTTAAGATGGTAATAAAATGTATAATTCAGCCATTTGATTTAGAATTTTAGGACCCCTGTTGGTATAAAAAATATATACAGTACCAGTCAAAAGTTTGGACACACCTACTCATTCAAGGGTTTTTCTTTATTTTTACTATTTCTACATTGTAGAATAATACTGAAGACATCAAAACTATGAAATAACACTTATGGAATCATGTAGTAAACAAAAAAGTGTTAAACAAATCAAAATATATTTTATATTTGAGATTCTTCAAATAGCCACCATTTGCCTTGATGACAGCTTTGCACACTCTTGGCATTCTCTCAACCAGCTTCACCTGGAATGCTTTTCCAACAGTCTTGAAGGAGTTCCCACATATGCTGAGCACTTGTTGGCTGCTTTTCCTTCACTCTGCCGTCCGACTCATCCCAAACCATCTCAATTGGGTTGAGGTCAGGGGATTGTGTAGGCCAGGTCATCTGATGCAGCACTCCATCACTCTCCTTCTTGGTAAAATAGCCCTTACACAGCCTGGAGGTCTGTTGGGTCATTGTCCTGTTGAAAAACAAATGATAGTCCCACTAAGCCCAAACCAGATGTGATGGCGTATCGCTATAGAAGGCTGTGGTAGCCATGCTGGTTAAGTGTGTCTTGAATTCTAAATAAATCACAGACAGTGTCACCAGCAAAGCACCCCCACACCATAACACCTCCTCCTCCAAGCTTTACAGTGGGAAATACAAATCGGTGTGGGAAATCATCCGTTCACCCACACCACGTCTCACAAAGACACGGTGGTTGGAACCAAAAATCTCCAATTTGGACTCCAGACCAAAGGACAGATTTCCACTGTCTAATGTCCATTGCTCGTGTTTCTTGGTCCAAGCAGGTCTCTTCTTATTATTGGTGTCCTTTAGTAGTGGTTTCTTTGCAGCAATTCGACCATGAAGGCCTGATTCACACAGTCCCCTCTGAACAGTTGATGTTGAGATGTGTCTGTTACTTGAACTCTGTGAAGCATTTATTTGGGCTGCAAGTTCTGAGGCTGGTAACTCTAATGAACGTATCCTCTGCAGCAGAGGTAACTCTGGGTCTTCCACTCCTGTGGTGGTCCTCATGAGAGCCAGTTTCATCATTGCGCTTGATGGTTTTTGTGACTGCACTTGAAGAAACTTTAAAAGTTATTGAAATGTTCCGTATTGACTATCCTTCATGTCTTAAAGTAATGATGGACTGTCATTTCTCTTTGCTTATTTGAGCTGTTCTTGCCATAATATGGACTTGATCTTTTACCAAATAGGGCTATCTTCTGTATACCCCCCCTACCTTGTCACAACACAACTGATTGGCTCAAACGCATTAAGTAGGAAATCAATTCCACAAATTAACTTTTAAGAAGGCACACCTGTTAATTAAAATGCATTCCAGGTGACTACCTCATGAAGTTAGTTGAGAGAATGCCAAGAGACATAAGAAAACTCAACAAAATAAATAAGCGCCTGGTACTGGGTTACCTTCAGACGACTCCCCTGAAGCTTGTGTGCATGGTAGAGCAGAACAACCAACACCTTCGTGTTCGTGTAGAAAAAAGCCACTTTCACAAGCCCCATGTTATGCAATAGGCGCAAACTTCATATCACTACAAGAAACAGCAAGTCTCTAGCATAAACACATAGGGAGCTATTCAGTATTCAAAATGACGTCACCGATCATTTTATGGTTTACCTGCCAGAAGTCAGCCACGGTGGAGGGTAGAGGGCCTTGTGAAGAGATGTACATGGGGTTCCTCGGGTCATGGTCCATCTGGCAAAAGACGGGAAGAAGAACAAGAGTTGTGTGTGAAGACTGGGTGAACTGCCTGTGTACATACTGCCTGTGTACCAAATGGCACCCTATTCCCTATATACAGTAGTGCACTATTTAGGGAATAGGGTGCCATTTGGGACGCAAGCCCTGTCTCTACAGTTAGAGCTAGCTTATCAAGACAGTGTAACAGCAGTCCATGCATTCTCTCTGATAATCTAAGGGTTGTGCTCCCGCCTTTTCTCTTCTATGGCCGTCCGGGTCTCCATTTCTGTTTTCACATTTACTTCTTCACTCCATCCACTTCTCTCTCTCGCCTCCCTCTGTTACCTTTCCCCCCTCTCTATCCTCCAGGCATGGCTATTCTTTAATGCTTCTGATTAGAGGAAGACCATGTTTAAAGGAAATTACATCGTCTCTCCAACATATTATTGATGCTAGTCAGAGAATGTCACAGGGGCCTATAGAAGAGGCGATCGGGGTGTCTCTCTCTCTCTGTGTGTGTGTGTGTGTGTGTGTGTGTATGTGTGTGTGTGTGTGTGTGTGTGTGTGTGTGTGTGTGTGTGTGTGTGTGTGTGTGTGTGTGTGTGTGTGTGTGTGTGGAGTGTTGGCATGCAGAACCCAGAGATACAGAGGGCAGAGGAAAGGATAGAAGGAGTTCTGCAATTGCCCCTGAAGTTCTGTTTTATATTAAAGATTCAACATAATGGGCTTGATACCAGCTCTACATCCAGCTCCACAGAACAAGACCCTGGCCTTTACTGTCTGTCTATTCATATTAGTCTGAGAAAGCCAATGAACAAAAGGGAACAAATAGCGTTTACAAAATATTAGATATTTCAAGCCAAATTGCACATGAGCATTAGTCATGGCTATTGTTAAAAGGAGAAGTAGAATAGAGAAGACATGAGTAAACCCTTTGGAATTTCAGCCATTTTGTAACACACAGACAAAGCCATTGTTTCATTACAGAAGATAGGTTTTTTATATTTCGGCTGATTAGAGGCTAGTTATTTCGGCGAGATCATCAGTCAAACACACTTCAAGCAACATGAATGTGTAATGAAGGGGTGCAACAGAATTTGTATTCCCCAAATAAACACTTTGGTTCCCATTTAACGTGGGCAGCCTGTGCTAACCAGAGCTAACCAGCCGAATCAGTGCACTTCAGTTCATTGGGCATTTGTACTTTCAGGGCTCCATTTTGCAATGTGCAAAAAAAAAATGGTTGTTCTGTATTTTTGAGGGTAAACATGATATTACGGTATATTTTTGCACAGTCGAGTTCTGTTTTGTATGAAATGAATCATAGCCCTTTTATGTTCCCGTGCTTTCATACTGCAAAGGTTCATACAATACAACAGTTTCATACAATAGTCTTGCATTGAGATAAGTATATCTCTTAATATAGAGAAGAAGACAGTGATAAACCTTTGTGTTGCACGGAAATCAGTCCTGAATATCCACTGGATGACACTCCAATGACTGACATCCACACCCATTACTATGGAAATGGGTGCAATTGTGCAGCACTTACAGGGAGCCATTTAGGGCTGGAGCAATAACAGAGTGGAGACAGAAGCTGAGTCCCTAAAGGCACCCTATTCCCTGTATAGTACACTACTTTTGACCAGGGCCCATATGGCTCTGGTCAAAAGTAGTGCACTATATAGGGATAGGGTGCCATTTGAGACACAAGTCCAGAGCTTATTTATTCTTCATAATTAGGTTGTTGTTCATGATGTTGGTGGTATTGATCTTGCATGTGTTCATCCCAAATGGCATCCTATTCCCTATATAGTGCACTACTTTTGACCAGGGCCTCTATGGTGTCGGTAATGGTCTCAGTTATACCCGACTTTAATATTCTGTTAGATTTTTTTTCCTCAAACCTCAAACCAAACAGCTTTTATTTGGTAAAGATGCTGTTTTCCCAAGGTCTATCTAGCTTTCCCACCAACAGAGAGAGAAGAGCAGGAGAGAAGCTGAAATACGGAGGCCATCTTTTCATGTCCTGCCTTTAGTATTCATACAGTGATGTCAGGCAGCGCATAGCTACTGTATGTCTGTGTCCTTGAGATTGCCTAACAGGGAGCTGGGGCCTATAGCTTTTAGCATCAAGTCTTTCATTTCTGTCAGGATAAAAAAAAGCCATCTGTGAAATTTCAACTAGGCAGGAGAGTGTGATGCTAACAAAGCACTGCTACCTAACTGAGGTGTTAGCGCATAGAATGGAAAAGGGCATTCATTTCTTTAGTTCTTCTCCAGAAATGCCATTTTGAATAACACGGCTAGGCAACAGGAATTCCAGGCAATCTTACAAAATGTATTTGTAAAGCCAGGTGCATTTTAATGGCCCATGTTAGCTAGCTTCATATTATGGAAGAGCTATACGCTTCCATAGCTTATGCTGCACATCTGTAGTCAAAGTGATTAGAATTTAATTAAACCTCTATAATCATCTCTCCTAGTCAGTGCTAATATAACTACTATGAAATCTCATAAAGAAAGAAGTTCATAAAAGAAGAGAAGACGTCCATTAAAGACAATCTACTGTGTCTCTACAGCACGTCCTGGTACTATTATCTGGCAGTGTCCCAAATGGCACCCTATCCCTATATAGTGCACTACTTTTGACCAGGGCCCATAGGGCTATGGTTAAAAGTAGTGCTATTTAGGGAATAGAGTGCAATTTAGAACGCAGACACTACGTGCTGGATTCCTTTCAGCTAAACCTCACACCAATGACACTGTATATTGTGGGTGCCCAATCGTCTGTTGACCTGAGCTGAAGAAGTTTGGAGGAGCATCGGGGCATAATGCGTGTCTAAGGTAATTTTTTGTGTCACCCCGCCATGACTGTGGGGGTAGAGTGGATGCCCCCCTTACCACCCCATTACCACTCGAACCCCACATTCCAAGAAAAAGATGACAAATGATTTACTTGTGGGCCATTTCCCTTGGGCTAATGAGGAGGAAGAGGGTGTGTTGACAGACGTAATTATGGTAGTTTCGCAGGGCTCAGCCAGGGGTCCTGTTGTGGCGTAATTACCATGCTTTCATCCGTACAGCGCTGGATCACTGATTACTGTGTCTACTCTGCTCTGCACCAAGCACAGCATAACCCACTCTGACTACTAATGGCAACATGGAGGAGTGGAGAAACGACTCCAAATGACAACTCCACTTGTCATTTAATTGTTTTCCACTTTGAAAGGAAACGCAAATACAGGAAAGAGATCAATTGGTTTGACGTTCTAATATTGGAGAAATGCAAATGGAGAAATTGATCATAACATATCTTTAAAGGACAATCTTGCAGAAGTTGTTCTTATCAAACACAGAGAGAAATAGGGAGGAGAGATACGAGATTCAGCCCAACAACAACACAGATAAGTAGAAGTTGAAAGGGTCTTATCACTCAAAATACTATGACTTCAGAAGCAGTAATACGTATAGATTGTTATAATGAAAGTATGATATCATTATTACTTAATACATTATGAATGCATTAAAATGCAGGAAATACAATAAATAGATGTGGTCAACAGTGTAAAAACAACTACAAAACACTGAAAGTGTTAAATCAACACTGAAAGTGTTGAGTCTGTGGACCCCTATAGACACCGGAACAGTGTTAAATTAACACACTGCTTAGTGTAAAGCCTTATTAAAATATTTCCCAGAGTGCCACCCATGACAGCTCTGGTGAGCTCCTGCCCAAGTCAAGCACTGGTGTTCAGTAATATGCTTTTAGTCCATCTCTCCAAATAGTTTTTTTTTTTAATACAGGAATATAACGCTGAACCTTTCTGATATTTGAGTCGTTTTGGATTTGTTCTGGGGACACATTATTGAGTGTAAATAATAATACACCACCATTCTTCTGGAAAGAGTACATTAAAGCAGAGCTGTTATCTCAAGAGAGCAGCCATTTCAAAACAGGGAAGGTGACAAACTATTATTTCACAAGACACGGCAAATTCATTGAGGGGCAAAGTGTGGAGGAACAAAGGCAAACGGATCAACGGGAAAATGTATGACAATTCACAAAAACAAATTGAATTTCAAAATATAATCCAACCTCAACTGGTCTTTGTGTAGAGTTGCAACAATAAAGCTTAAAAGAAACATAAAGTGAAGGAGTATGGGATGTGGACTGCTACTCACAATTGGGCTAGCATTGATATAATCGGAGTTGCCATGGTTATTCTCGGCCTTCAAGGTTATTCTGGAATGATCATCTGTAATAGAAATACATAAGTCACCACACATTTTTTTGCTTTTCCACGACTGAAACATTTAATTACTGATAAATTCTATGGAATTGAAAATACTGTTTTTCTTGGTCAGATCACATGGTCATGAATAACACAGGAATAACCTAGTGATCGACTACTGAGAGATGTGGTCAGACTGCGGTCATACATGACCACACGGTCAGAGAGGTGTAAAAATACTCACAGACGACCACGGCATCGGCGCGGTTCCTCTTGGTGTTGTGTTTGTCCTGGCCCACTTTACAGGCGCCGGGCTCAGCCAGGTAGCCACACATCGCCTCCCACTCCCTCTCCAGACGGTTCTTGTTCTTCAAGTGGTCCTCCATGTACGACTGAGCAGACAAAGGGGAGAGAACCCACATAACTAAATAACCAAACAAAAGGTAATGAACTGGAAATGGAAAGGTAATTACATACAGAAACATTTAGAGGGGAGGGATGGAGCAGGGTGCCCCCAGAATATAGAATATTTTGTGATTGTCATTCACTGTCTAGAATAGATCAAATAAAATACAAAACAATTCATGCCTATGTTGTAGACCTACTCTATTTCAATGGATCTCAAAAGCCTTCCTATCTACACACTGGAGCAGAAAACTAAACCCATGTCATCAGACAGACAGACAGCTCTAGAGCCATGATCAGGTACAGTATCATGGTAATTCGTCCTAAGCTTCTCCATGGTGTAAACATTAAGGGGGTGGGGGGGGTTAGGGGGGTAAATTCAGGACGTGTTGGGAGGGAGGGGCTACCGAAAACTGCTCCTCGCAATTAAGACCATGAAAGGTCTGTCTGCATTGGAAATACTTGTAAATACAGAGTGCTTCAATCACCGTCTTTCAAACCGCTTGCACAGCCCCTGATAAGATTGTCTGCGTTTCAGCCGTCGATTGGAGAAGACAAAATGTAATTAGCTAGGGAGACAAAGGAGAAAAGAAAAGCAGGGGGATGAAAAAAAACAGAACACGCTGCTCCTCTAACAAACCAGGGTAGGTCTTTTCGAGCTCGGAGGCTGCGGAGAAGACTCTTTTTCAGAGTAACAGTGTTCGCCTGACGCTTGTATCAACGCTCCCTGCTCCCCGCGGGGTTAAACGGTTTAGGCCGTCATTGTGTAAGGGAGGAGATTACAGTCTCATAAACTGATGTGGGGGATCAGCTGGGTAATACAATGAAAGCGATACCCAGATGTGCTCGGCTTTTATCACACATTAAAGACAGTGGAGGTGCGTTGGGTTGGAGAGGTGATGCACGGTGGTTATCTACAGCTCAGCTAAGGCTGTCAAACAACTCTCAACATGGACACAACAGACACGTAGGTATATACAGGGACATACTTTGAGATAGTACAGGACAGTATGGGAAATTAGCCCCGCTAATATCCCCTCTTCCGCCATTCACTATAGGCAGAAAATATGAATGTCAAGCGATATCTCTGTCAAAAACTAGTAGACAGTTTCTGGCAGCCGTTTTTTTCCAGGCTGCGTCCCAAATTACCTATTTTATTAAACCTTTATTTTATCAGGGAGTCATACTGAGACCAAGGTCTCTTTTACAGATGAGCCCTGAATTACATAAATTACAGAAAATATACACATCAAAATATAAATACAAAATGCAAGCAGAAAGAAAAAGTCATAAAAAACAAACACATTGATCAGTAAAAAGGTCCTCAATCTGCTTTCTGAATTGGCCTAGATTCACCAAAACATTACATTTTATAACATTTTGAAGATAAAACACTAAAAGCTGATTTACACCCTGAGACGGGTGTGGTAACTCGTATGTCTAAAGTTAAGTAAAGATGTTAGGTACAGTGTGACTTTTTGTAAAAAGGCCTTTATAAATGAAAACATAGCAATGTATCAACCTATGTAACATCAAAGAAGGCCAACCAACTTTCTGGTAGAGAATAGAGTGATGAGTACTAAAATTGTCGCCCGTAATAAAGCGCAGTGCGCTATGATAAATTGCATCTAACGGCTTTAATGAAGTGGCAGCTACGTTCATGTAGATGATGTCGCCATAATCTAGGACTGATAGGAACGTCGACTGAATAGTCTGCTTTCTACTATTTAGCTATTTCTATAGAAGAAGCCCATTTTTATTTTCAGCTTCTTAATTAACTCGTCAATATGCTTTTTATAAGACAGCACATAGGGCTCCGGTCAAAAGTAGTGCACTATGTAGGGAATAGGGTGCCATTTTGGACTCATTTTGGACTCATGTCTTAGTAGATCATACTCCAAATGACAAGCAATGTAATAGAGGGCACATTTTAAATTCCTCATTTAGTAGGTCTGATTATAATGCCTCGTTGCAGTAACAATAGATATACTCTAGTAACTAGCAACCCAGAGGGGTTGGCTGTCATTGACTACTACCCATCAATTACTTTAAATAAGAATTCTTTGCTTTCCCTTTGACTGAAATTGATACAATTTGTGAGAAAAAAAGTAATTGTCTACATCTCCATCGTATCATTCTGTTTAAAATACTGTTGGCAGCGACCACAAATCTGCATGTTGGAGGCTATGTCGCCCACACAACAAACAAACAATGCAGTCTTTTCAGAAGTGACAGTTGAATGACAGGGTGTCATGAACACTTGACAGAACCAGTCACATGCAGTTCTCTTGACAGCGGGGAACAAGTATATTGGTCTCGTCTCAAATGGCACCATATTCCCTATATAGTGCACTATTTTTCAACAAAAGTAGTAGACTATGTAGGGAATAAGGTGCCATTTAGGATGCAAACACTGTAGCTGCACAGCATGACACCCGTCTACCTCCCCTACACAGACATAGAAACTCTATATTAGTACATACTACACATTCAGAAGGGCTACAGAATTGCCGCCATTCAATGGCTTACTCTGCGTCTATCACAAATTCTAATAAATGTGCTTTTTATGTGGAAACTGGGATATGTATCTAGTGATGTAGCAGCCTGATTGTGGATCGGATGAAGCAGCGGACCACCTCCTCTTCTAGAGGCAGAGAGTGTGTGTCCCATTTCGCACCCTATTCTCTACATAGTACACTACTTTTGACCAGAGCCCTATGGGCCTGACCAGAGCCCCTATGGGCCCTGTTCAAACGTAGTGCACTATGTAGGGAATAGGGTGCCATTTGGAATGCACCCAGGGTAACAGGGTTTAGTGAATAAGGGATTAGTGTCTGGGCTGCCAATCAGAGGTGCTGAGAGGACGGGTGTCAAGGAAACACTGAGTAATCCCCCTAACAACAGCCCTCATAAGCCACATAGAGAAGCTATATTAACTCACACTGAGGAAATAAAGGCACACAGGTAACACAACGTTGCTACTGTTGTGCCACTGTACTGTTACTGTAATAACAGTTGTGCAGGTGTGTTCCCAGAGTTCCTAACAGTAACTGACTATGAAATACTGTGTGAAGTCACAGGGGATACAATGGGGAAAGTGTAATGTGTCTGAAAAGAGTAGTAGGCAGCCTACTCATAATTTGAGGTCAGGGACAGCCAGGAGAGGAAGGGCATTGCAATCAGTCCTATCAATCAGGGATCGAATAAAAGCGAACAAATCACTTATGCTTGATATATTTGCTGTTATCCTCTCCTGCCTTACTCCAACAAATGATTCATTTTCAATTAGATTTGACATGGAAGTAAGTCATAAAAATAATGCAATGTTGCCTTGGGCTTGCTATCGATTTTCTGAGGCAACAAATAAGCATTTACGGAGGGTACATATGCAGTAACAATGGAAATTATATCAGCATCACGACCATATCTACTGGACAGCATAAAAACTGTAAAGAAAACTAAAAACATGTCTCCAAGGGAAATCAAAAGGCAACAACAAGATAAACGCAATGGAAGCATTACTGTGGGGAGCTATCCATGGGGCTGAAAGCCTGCCAGCAGAATCACATAGCTGGCATTCCTGTTCATGTCCTAAAAAGGCTGTTTGTCTTTGAATACTGTATGTTTGAAATTGGATACACAGTATGTACATACTGTGCATTGAAATAATCCCTACACATTCTAATTCACGGTGAAGAAGTGTGAGTGACCAAAACACACAGACTGCAGGTTTCAATATGTCTCAACACCAGAAGGTCTACAAAAATAGGAGAGAATAAAGTCTGGGCAATAATACAAACTAACCCCACCATTGCTGACTCTGATTTTGAACCTTGGAAGTCATTATTTACAGTGCCATCGGAAAGTATTCAGACCCCTTGACTTTTTCCACATTTTGTTACGTTACAGCCTTATTCTAAAATTGATTAAATTGTTTTTTCCCCTCATCAATCTACACACAATACCACATAACGACAAAGCAAAAAAAAAGGAAATATCAAATTTAAATAAGTATTCAGACCCTTTACTCAGTACTTTGTTGAAGCACCTTTGGCAGCGATTACATAATCAAGTCTTCTTGGGTATGACGCTACAAGCTTGGCACACCTCTATTTGGGGAGTTTCTCCCATTCTTCTCTGCAGATCCTCTCAAGCTCTGTCAGGTTGGATGGGGAGCGTTGCTGCACAGCTATTTTCAGGTCTCTCTAGAGATGTTTGATCGGGTTCAAGTCCAGGCTCTGGCTGGGCCACTCAAGGACATTCAGAGACTTGTCCCAAAGCCACTCCTGTGTTGTCTTGGCTGTGTGCTTAGGGTAGTTGTCCTGTTGGAAGGTGAACCTTCGCCCCAGTCTGAGGTCCTGAGCACTATGGAGCAGTATTCCATCAAGGATCTCTCTGTACTTTGCTCTGTTCATCTTTGCCTCGATCCTGACTAGTCTCCCAGTCCCTGCCGCTGAAAAACATCCCCACAGCATGATGCTGCCACCACCATGCTTCACCGTAGGGATGGTGCCAGGTTTCCTCCAGACGTGACACTTGGCATTCAGGCCAAAGAGTTCAATCTTGGTTTCATCAGACCAGATAATCTTGTTTCTGATGGTCTGAGAGTCTTTAGGTGCCTTTTGGCAAACTCCAAGTGAGCTGTAATGTGCCTTTCACTGAGGAGTGGCTTCCGTCTGGCCACTACCACAAAGGCCTGATTGGTGGAGTGCTGCAGAGATGGTTGTCCTTATGGAAAGTTCTCCCATCTCCACAGAGGAACTCTAGAGCTCTGTCAGAGTGACCATCAGGTTCTTGGTCACCTCCCTGACCAAGGCCTTTCTCCCCCGATTGCTCAGTTTGACCGGGCGGCCAGCTCTAGGAAGAGTCTTGGTGGTTCCAAACATCTTACATTTAAGAATGATGGCCACTGTGTTCTTGGGGACCTTCAATGCTGTAGACATTACTTATTTTTTTCAATGCTGCAGACATTGCACATGGTGATCGAACATTTCTTGTACTGACGTTGCTTCCAGAGGCAGTTTGGAACTCGGTAGTGAGTGTTGCAACTGAGGACAGATTATTTTTACGCGCTAAGCGCTTCAGCACTCGCCGGTCCCGTTATGTGAGCTTGTGTGGCCTACCACTTCGCGACTGAGCCATTGTTGCTCCTAGACGTTTCTACTTCACAATAACAGCACTTATAGTTGACCAGGGCAGCTCTAGCAGGGCCGATATTTGACGAACTGACTTGTTGGAAAGGTGGCATCTGGTGACCTTGCCACGTTGAAAGTAACTAAGCTCTTCAGTAAGGCCATTCTACTGCCAATATTTGTCTATGGAGATTGCATGGCTGTGTGCTCGATTTTATACACCTGTCAGCAACGGGTGTGGCTGAAATAGCCGAATCCACTAATTTGAAAGGGTGTCCACATACTTTTGTATATATGATCAAATCAAATCAAATCAATTTTATTTGTCACATGTGCCGAATACAACCTACAAGCCCTTAACCAACAATGCATTTCAAGAAATAGAGTTAAGAAAATATTTACTAAATAAACTAAAGTAAAAATTATAATAAAAAGTAACACAATAAAATAACAATAACGAGGCTATATACAGGGGCTACCGGTACCGAGTCAATGTGCGGGGGTACAGGTTAGTCGAAGTAATTTGTACATGTAGGTAGGGTTAAAGTGACTATGCATAGATAATAAACAGCAGTGGCTTGGGGGTAGAAGCTGTTAAGGAGCCTTTTGTTCCTATACTTGGCGCTCCGGTACCGCTTGCCGTGCGGTAGCAGAGAGAAAAGTCTATGACTTGGGTGACTGGAGTCTTTGACAATTTTTTGGCCTTTCCTCTGACACCGCCTAGTATATAGGTCCTAGATGGCAGGAAGCTTGGCCCCAGTGATGTACTGGGCTGTACGCACTACCCTCTGTAGCACCATTCGGTCAGATGCCGAGCAGTTGCCATACCAGGCGGTGATGCAACCGGTCAGGATGCTCTCGATGGTGCAGCTGTAGAACTTTTTGATGATCTGGGGACCCATGCCAAATCTTTTCAGTCTCCTGACGGGGAAAAGGTGTTGTCGTGCCCTTTTTAGCCCTCTTTAGTGTAGCTAGGTGAGACAACCGCATATCACAGTCGTAGTAAGTCAATTCTTCCTTGATAAAGAAGTTATCAGCAAAATCAGTGCTAGTAGGAAAAGTAAAGTGCAAGCAAATGACTCAAAATGGCACCCTATTCCCTATTCCCTATTTAGTGCATAACATTTGACCAGGGCCCACAGGCTGATAGGGTGCCATAGGGGATGAAGCCCAAATGAAACTTGGATGAGAGTAGATTGGGCCAGAAAGAGCCTCCTACTCCAGTGAGTTAGATGTAGGTGTGAGCTATAAGAGAGCCCAGCATGTGGATAAAAGCGTCTGCTAAATGGCATATTATATATTATATTATATATCTTGAGAGAGTAAGGTACTCATCACTGCCACAGTCCACACTGCATGAGATCCACAGAGAACAGCACAGGAGAGATGAAAGAAATCTGGTCTGACATCAGTGATACCAAGGCAATCTTACACATGGTTACACGTGAGGTGTGAATGGAATTCAAAAGAGAAACAACCTCCTTGTCAATCACTCAGGAGTCAAAATGGAGTCAAGGTCCGTGTGAATCTGCAGTGAATCTGTTTCTTACTGTGTTATTATTAAAGCAAATAACATTTGCAATAAGCCCATCCATTATGACGAATACACGTTACTCAAACTAATTCTCATTCACTATTGACTCCGATACAAAAGCCTGACACGTACTGTGATGAATTTTACCCCACTAATGAAAACACTGCCAGGCATCTATCCATCTCTTTTATCAAGCTTGTCTGCAATGAATAAAACAAAATTAAAACAATCCATTGTGTGTGCAACTGGGGGGGCCCACAAGGGACTCAAAGCTTTTCAAAGAAAAGCAAAACAAAAATCTGAAACCTTCAACTGACAATCAGCTGGGTAATGATATTTCTCTTTTGAACAGCTCTCATCGCAATGCAATATCCGTCTTGCTTTGGCTTCAACATAGAGAGAGAGAGCAGGAGGGAGAGAGAGGGAGGGAGGGAGAGAAAGAGAGAGAGAGAGAGAGAGAGAGAGAGAGAGAGAGAGGAGAGAGAGAGAGAGAGAGGAGAGAGAGATGAGAGAGAGAGAGGAGAGAGAGAGAGAGAGAGAGAGGAGAGAGAGAGAGGGGGAGAGAGAGAGAGAGAGAGAGGGGGGGGAGGGTGGCAAGGGAGAGGGATAAAGAGAGTGACAAAGAGAGAGAAAATAAGAGCAAGAGAAAGAATGGCAGAGACGACAGGCCAAGATAAAGTGAGAGAAAATGAAAAAGAGGGAGATAGAGATAGAGATGGAAAGAAAGAAAGACAGAGATGGAAAGAAAAATCGCAGAGATCTAGCGAGGATAGAGACGAGAAAGGGATAGAGAGACAGAGCCAGACAGACAAACGGAATGAAAGCTGGAGGCTGAGTGCTAGGGGAATAGGAACCCCAGAGCATAGACACACACACTCATAGAGATCCTATCCTACACACACTATACTGCATACTGACTCCAAACAGGGGTGGATACTGCATACTGACTCCAAACAGGGGTGGATGGTAGCCTAGCGGTTAAGAGCGTTGGGCCAGTAAGTGAAAGGTTGCTGGTTAAAATCCCTGAGCCGACTAGGTGACAAATCTGTCGATATGCGCTTGGCCCTAATTGCTCCTGTAAGTCGCTCTGGATAAGAGCGTCTACTGTAATGTAAGATGTTGTCCATGATGGAGGGTAAAGGCTCCTCGCATCAGACAGACTATAGTAGTATGTTGTTTTACCAGTATCATGTGTCCGGTGGAGATGTCCATGTTGGCAGGGACAGGCTCCTCGCACCAGGATGAGGTGGAGCTACGGGCAGAGGGGCTGGCCATGGGTCCCCCATCGCTGAACTGAGACGACGCGCTATTCAGCCGTGAGTGGCGGCGTAGAGGCTCCGGGCGCTCTGCACGCTCCGACGTCCGCACAGCCATCCGCTGGCGACACAGCTCCTGGAGAGGAGAGAGGAGGACCTGATCAGCCGTTGGTTGACTCTGGTTGATTCTTACTGTATTATCAAAGCAAATAAAAATGACTTTGTTGTAAAATGACTTTGTTGTAATGTCAAGGCTAAATATTACAAATACAATATTACTCAAATTCATTCTCATTCATTAAAGACTAATACAAAAGCCAGACAGACATTGTTTTGATTAGTTGAGATGATTTCACATGACCCCTGTTAATCTTTGCAGACTGTATAAGTCTGGGATATCACTGTGGCCTATGGAGCATGGTTTGTAGCAAACCTATCTATATAAATGTCAGGAAATAAAAAACACAGTCAAAGGTCATGCAGTGAACTTCAAAAAGCTTGAATTGCCAAGGTCAAGCCAGTATATTGCCACCATTTTACAAAACAAATAATAATAAACTTTAACAATACATTGGGTGTCTGGCTGGCAGGGGATGTCTTAAGTATTGATTTCCATTTGTATACATTTGGTAACAATTTCTATGAGCCACTTGTTTTGTAACACATTAGGTACTTATGTATTGTCTTATAAGGAGGCACAAGCTACTATGAAGAACATCGTTAAATAGATGAGAAACAAAAGCCACAAAACTACAGCCCAAAATGAAAGAGACTGCCCATGAGCAACAAAAACAATGCCCACGTTCAAAATGTAACAACCATATTCATCTTTAGGTACGATGAATCTCGGTTTCCATTACTCAAAGAAATTAAAACATAACAGGGAATCAATACTTTAAACCCAAAGGATTTTCTTTGAACTGAGCAGCCACTCTCTCATAACTACAAAGCTACAACAGAGATGAGCAACCTATGTATGCACATGTACAGTAGGCCTTTGGAATGATATTGAAGGTGAAATTCTATTGTTATTCTATGGAAATCAGAGAGATTCAGAAGAGACGTCTATATAAAAGACTCTCTCCCATTGCCGCCACCCCACCATGAAGATTACTCCTCTCTACAAAATTACTCAGGTTTTCTCCCATCATGCCTTGTGCTCACAGACGCTCCATTAGGGATTTGGAGCCTGGGCGTTATCTAGCCAGCCAGTCATCTTCCCCCAACTCAAAATAAGGAGAGAAAAGATAAGAAAAAAAGGATGCAATCTTACAGAACCCGAACCCGAACCCCTCTCTCCCCCTTCCTACTTCCCCGCTCCCGATACTGGAGCTGAAGATTTCTCCATTATATTCACAGTATAATGAAGCGTGTTTGGTGTGTAGCCTGCACCAGTCAGACCCACAGACTGATCTTCAACCACAATTAACAACCAGGGTTGCATCCCAAATGGCACCCTATTCCCTACATAGTGCACTACTTTTGACCAGGGCCCATAGCTGCAAGCCAGGACAGCAGAAGGCAGTGCAGGTAAACGTCTTCTGAAAGCAGCACATTGCTACTAGTCTATCTCATGATCTATTATTGTGATATTTCACTCCAGGGACCAGCCTCTAAGCCCTGGTCTAGGATCAGCTTTCCCTACGTCAAACCTTAATCATTATAACCATGAGAATCTGCCCCGGGCCACGGCCTCAGGGCACTTTCCATGTCCACCAAATAATTAATCCAGTTTCTCTAGTCTACACCTTTACAGAGTCAAGGGTTGCATCTCAAATGGCACTCTATTCCCTTTATGGGCCCATAGGGCTAGGGTTGAACAATTCTGTTAACACAGCCAAAATGTCCAGATTTTCCAGGAATCCCAGTTGGAATAGGTACTGTGGTTGGAGGAGAGAATGAGCAGGAAATCAGGGAATCCTCCAACCTGGATTTCTGGAAAACCTGGTAATTTGTGCAATTTGTACAACCCATTTACTTGCATATACCCCCAACAAAGGGGAACCAGAGAAGGCTAAAAGAGAGGATAGACACTAGCTTAGGCAGCCGATAGTGGCTGCTAGATCTGCACTATCATCTAAGATTGATGTGCATTCCCGGTAATACACTCATGTCCCCCATGGACCAGCTCGTACATAAAGCATCCTCCATTTAGGCTGCAAAGGCATAATTGTCCTCCTTAATAGGATAGTTCACCCAAATTACAAAATTACATATTGGTTTCCTTACCCTGTAAGCAGTCTATGGACAAGGTATGAAAACAATATGCTTAGGTTTAGTTTCCCTGGCACTGTTTCCACGTGCTAACATTTTAGCATTTGTGGCATAAATATTAGTATTTTTCGCGCATCATGTTCAAAACATCTATAAGTGATTTGTTGGGCTTCACAATCAATTTGAGATACATTCAGATGATTTAGACATAATGTGCGAAAAAAGCTAATATCAGTCCCATGATTTGAATGGGATTTGTGTCACAAATGCTAAAGCTTTAGCATGTGGAAACAGTGCCAGGGAAACTAAACCAAAGCATGGATTGCTGTCATACCTTGTCCATAGACTGCTTACAGGGTAAGGAAACCAATGTGTACTTTTGTAATTTGGGTGAACTATCCCTTTAACTAGCTTTAATGGCGAGGCGCCAGTAAAAAACAGGGAAACTATGTGTACTGTCTTAATAAAACACAATTTCCATCACCTTGGCGGAATGCCAACATCCTAAGTTGTCCAAAAATGGGACATAATGTAACAATTCATCTGTTATTGTATGTGCATAGGAGATATGAGGCTACAACAACCCATATATATTGTAAACAAATAATAAAATATTGTAAATATTGTAAAAGTCCATTAAACCCCCCCCCAAAAAAAATGAACATTAAAGAAACGGGCCCAAATGAACGGTTACAGTAGAACACATTTCTCTACTCTCTTAATGATTGTCCATCTTCAGTGTGTACGATCGGGAAAGACACTGTGAAAGGCTGATTAAATATTGAGAATGTAAATGTGAAATGTGATGAGTGTCCACACTGAGCACAGCTGAGGCCAAGACAAAATCAATACGAGCCAGCCACCCAGCCAGCCGCTAGACCTGGAGGAATGGAAGGAATAGGTCACACAATGAACCCGCTCCCCTGCTAAAAAGCCCCTCTCCTAGTCATAGGTCATAGCCAATACAACTCTCACTGGAAATTTTGACTTCTAGAAACATTTGACCAGCCTTGTTAAACCAGGCTGAGCGCAGCGGTCAGTCTGGTTTTACGAGGCTAACATTTGACTGGCAATTGTTTATTCTATTTCCTTGATGTCTTAAATTACAACCAAACCACAAAAAACACTTTCACATAATACAGAATCAAATGAAGGGTAATCTTGCAATTGGGTTACAAAAATTTTACATATCAATATATTCTGTTGATAACCAGCCTTAAGTCACAACCTAGCTCTATCATGAACAAACACACATTCTACAACCAACTGTCACAAGTGTGACAAAAACCAAACAACAACCAGATATTCCCTTAAAATCAACTCATTCAATACACAGCGACTACGTGTCACTGCAGACCAATCAGAATAAGTCTAGTGTCAGGGACCGGGACCAGAGCGCATGCTCTACCAGTAGAGCACTCAACTGCTGCACTGAGATTGGCTGAGGACGAGGAGGCTCCTCTCACCTGATAGGTTGCGGTTGCATCAGCGCTGGTGTCAGTCCCCAGGCTGGCTAGTTTCTCCTTCAGTTGGAGGTGGGAACGGTGGCGCAGGCAGAAGAGCCAGCCGGACGCTGCCAGCGCCCCCATGATCAGGACCATGGAGATGACGGTCAAGACCAGGAACTGACCAGACTCCAGACGACTCTCCTTGACCACCAGGATCTGTCTCAAGCTGCCCTTCTGGAAAGAGAGAGACAAAAGGGGATGAGAAAATGACCTATACATCCAGGTTACGGCAATGTTTGTGCAGTGCAGTATTTTCATTATATTTGGAGAAACAAGGGTGTCACATGCACGCACGCATGCACACACATAACAATGACAAAAAATATAAATACTGAAATTGACATAAATCCATTGTTGTTCTAACTTCCATGTTAGAAAATCCCAAAACAAGGGATTGTTGTAATTTGTTTGACAGAAATATGGAGACAAATTAGCACAGTATTTCCCTCCCTGTCTATCCCAGCCATGCCCACTCATCCCCATCCTGATTCACTCCCTGCCCAGCCTACTCATTACCTTACACTAATAGTTGTTTTATAATGTGCATTCAAACTCACTCAAGTCCTATTACTCTCTTCTGTCCAGCCTACACACTATAGACATTTAGGGCCCATTTGTTCTGGCATGGGGAGACCTGCCATTGTGCAGCTACAGGAGATTTGGACAGTAAAAGCTTGTCACTAATTAGCCTTCCAGCTTTGAGTTTGGCTGGATTAGGGCCCTGGCAAAGGCCCCTGAAGTAATTGCTAGGAGGGCCTGAAAGGGGGATCTCAGATTGGGTCTACCCAGTAGAAGCCCACCAGAGTGGGCCGTTCAGAGACGTTGTTAACCCCCTCCCCGGAGCTAAGCCCAGGAGAATAGCATGGTATTGGCATGGTATTGTCTCACAGGCCCCTGTGAGGCTGCCAGGCTGGGTAGCCTATCCCTGGTTCTCAGTAAGTGCATGGACCACTGTGAAGGTTTTAGCACCATTTAATAGAAGGTGAACCCAAATGGACTAGCGGCCCATCTACTCTATCAATGAGCCCATTTACCTTCATCTATTCAATACACTTGAAAAACCTACATCCGTAATTGCAGAAGGGTTTTCAACTTCAATCAAATCAAAAACACACAACAATCACTAACCGCTGCAACATGGTACTTAGTCGTGGGGGGCAAAAGGGTAAGGTACAAACATTATATCTATTATATTTTTTATAGTCATAATACATGATCACTTTAAACTTCGGTGACTGTTTAGATGCTGAGGCCTTTGGTAACATGTTCACACTGATTGCCATGTAGGTCTGATGAATGTGTGTGACATACAGCTTCAGTCATCAGCCAAGTGGCTTGGCAACAATTGAAAAGTCTAAAACTATCCTTTAATAAACCGCATAGAACATAGATGAGAGAAACAAAGCTTTGGCTAGCTCTGAGCTATTGCATCAATGCCTTTGACAGATTGAATATGAGTGAAATTATTCACTATGATAGATAAGGACACATTTACATTGGATTGCTAAAGCTTGGTCTGTGCATATGAAACTATGGGTAGCTTTAGTCTACTACAGCAGTCCTTCTACCCCTTGTTTACATTTCCTCTCTCTCGCTCTCTCACTCTCTCTCTCTCTCTCTCTCTCTCTCTCTCTCGCTCTCTCTCTCTCTCTCTCTCTCTCTCTCTCTCTCTCTCTCTCTCTCTCTCCCCCTCTCTCTTCCTCCCTCCCTCCCTCCCTCCCCCCTCTTTCTCTCTCTCCACCAGTTTAACACTTTTAAGCAAGCCACATGAAAAGGGACTCCATGAAAATGAATGTTTTTAGTTAAAATATGTCAGTAAATCATTATTTTAAGAAAAATCACAGATTGTACTTTTATGACACAACATCGCCTGCCATGTCGCTATTCTTAAATCATGTTCATAAAATGTTATATTCTCATTGATTCTCATGTGTAAGTAAATGCTACACAGATTAATAACTGTGGAAAATACATTGTTGGTATTATAAATATTGTATGCCATAATTACAACAATATTAGACTGTGTTATTGTCCAAATAATTAATCAGGTACATATAACTTCAAATTATATGAAACAGCTATTACAATGACATAGAGTGCCTAAAATTCATTTTGTAGGAAGCTGTTGATTGATCCTAGCAAAAAACATTATTTAAATACTCTTCACACCCCTCAATAATGTCCTTTTCAGATTGATAAAGGGGATAAAGAAAACGAATGAAGAGCATATTCTCTTGAGAGAGGGAAAGAGGGCGAGAGGACTCCTTTTTTTACGGCAGAGAGGAGTTTTTGTTCATTTGTGAGAATGAAATTGGACTTGTAAATTACCATTTCATATGGGGAAACGTAAACAGAGATAATCAACTATGACAAACATATCTTTATTTTTTCAAACAACCATCAATGCAATTATTGCAATAACATAGGTTAAAAAAACATTGTGACATGTTTTTTAAAATAAACAAATAAATCACATGGATTTATTTGCAATCATCATTTTCATGTATTTCAAAAACATAAAAGTGTATGAACATTACCACTAAATAAATAAACATTATGGGATTATGGACAGGTGTATGAATTAGATGTATGAATTGATGAATGTGTGTATAGAATTATGAATAACAAATTTAAGAAAATCGCTTAAGATTTTAAGAAAAATCTTATATACTGCTCCAGAATCAGTATTTTTCCTAAATTAACCTTTACTTGCTTATCACCTTGAATAAAAACAGGCTTTTTGACATTTTATTGCATCGGAAATACACAGGATGCTCAGTGAGGTTTTTACACTCACTTATTCTCTCTCTCTCTCTCTCAATTCAATTTCAATTCAATTTAAGGGCTTTATTGGCATGGGAAACATATGTTTACATTGCCAAAGCAAGTGAAATAGATAATAAACAAAAGTGAAAAAAACAATAAAAACGACCTCTCTCTCTCTCTCTCTCTCTCTCTCTCTCTCTCTCTCTCTCTCTCTCTCTCTCTCTCTCTAGGATTAGCAGACCTAGCTGAAGACAAAGGGCAGATGGATTTCGGTAGCTCTGGTTTATTCAAATGATTGAGAGAAAGGTCACAGTGAGAGAGGCCAGAGGGGAGGCCGGCTATCCATTCACACTGTGATCACAATACTTTCAAGCAGTTGAAGGTACCCCCCTAACACACATATACACTCTAACACACCACCACCAAATCCCAAATCCTTGTTGCATGAAATACAAACATAGTCAAGCAACTAAACACATGTTCACCTGACAAATTAGACACAAACCCATCTCAGAATTGTCTATTTTTTAGATTAAAATAGTAGGTTACATGAACATGCCTCTGATTGGAATCTGAAATACCAATAATAATCTTTATCTTTTAATATCTGGTAATGAAATGAACATACATTTATAAAGAGATAAATGTTTTTGCCTTCAATGAAGAAGCAACTTATTCCATCAAATTCAGTCCTTTTTTTCAGTCTGATAATGTCAAATCAAACAAGAATTGCTCAATTAGTAATATACAAGAGTTTCACAATGAAAAGTTTTATAAAAGTGTTATTGCTGTTAATAAGAACCTTTTCCCAACTAAATCCATGTGTGTTTTCCTATTTTAATGATAAATAATTACTTTGCCATCCAACTGTAGCCTACTTTAAAACAAAGTAGCCTAGTCCTATGTCAAATGCATTTCAGTTTAGATAATAAACTGACCAAATTAAAGCAAAGAAATAACAGCAAGCTTTTTATGCAAATATTGATTTTTTTAAACTTGAGGGTAACTACTAGCCAATAGAAGACATTGACCTTCTCCAAAACTCAATGTGCTCAGTGAATCAATTAATTCCATTGGTATCCCGGGAATGCGTTTTCTAGTGAAAACGTTGTATCTTCCCTACAGATGTGACGATTGGACATTGCACCAGTGCTGCTATTCATCAAATATATTTTCTATATTTTCAACACCTGTTTTAACTTAAGCCAGGGCTAAAACAGTTTAGCCTACTACCGCACTGATCATCCCTTTCTAAATTTGATGGCTATAACCTACAAGTTTCGTTCGATTTTTCCCCCCACACTATGAGCATCCTTCCGTGACTGGAGCGTCGACAGAGGGCCGAAATCACAGAAAGCACTCAACCCACGCATGCATTGCACATCAATTGTAATTCAAGCAATTCTATAAAAAAAGACAAATATGCATTTTGTTTTGTAATAATCTATACAAATTGCTCATAAAAACGATAGCCTATACATTGAAGCCTACCACACAAGTTATCCCCACCGCATTCGTTATATCGGCACCTTGAAAACACAGCCAAGATAGGCTATAACACATGCTGGAAAATAGTTACCTAAATTCATGTTGATGCGCAAGTCAGATGGTTTGCAATAAATAGGAGATATGCCTTGTATTCCAGAGAGCAGGTTCGGCAACCGCAGCTCCAGTAGTGTGAGTGGCCAGCGTAACAACCAGCCTCCCACTCAATCCTCTCCTCCACAAAAGTTACCAGCGTCCCATGCGCCTCCTGAGCCAACAAAAGACTGCGGCTACCAATGTTCGAGCACGAAGATGGAGAAGAAAAAGGAAAAGAGAGAAAATAAAGAGGAGGAGAACGAACGAGGGGATATGCTCGCCTGATTTTCAGAGCCTTGCAAGAATCTGCAGAAGCCTATAGTGAGTCCTTTCAGCGTCTCTGTGCCCAATGAAAAGAAGGGGAGACAGGTTTTTTTTTATTTTTAGATCATATAGTGTACGGCTGAGCCCCTCCTTATATTCAGCCGCTAAGAAGTCCCTGTCTGTTGCACATGTCATATCCACTGGTTGCTATAGCGATACCTCCACATGTTGTCGACAGTGAATGCTCAAGGAGGGATGGTTGGCTAATAAGCTTGTGGGCTGAGGGGGGATATGAATGGACATCGGGTTAGTCACTCATTTGTTAAGCTACTTGGGGTCTCTGTGTTCTGTGTGAATTGCGGTTTTCTGGCGCTCTCCAGTCCACCCCTTTCCCGCTCTCACTCTCCTAAATACAGTAATAGCCAGAATGAAAGCATGCTTTACAGAAAGAGGGGTGGGGGGGTGGGGTGTCCATCCGTAGGGACTGTATAACCTTTTATCATCTTACTGTGAATGTAAATTATGATGAGGTAGGCTGTATTTTGGGATAGTGATATTTAGTGCCTCTCAAAATACTGTAGAAATAACAGGATAGACTGAATAAGAAGTTCAGTTGTAGACCTATCTGAGCCAAACATATGAGTTGATAGCCGAAATAAGAAAATGCTGATCAATGAAGAAAAAAAGAGGAAAAAAGGACACAAGTTTTACAAACAAAATCCCACTAAAACTCCTAATTAGTTATTAGGCAGAAGAAGAAAAAATCCAGTGGACAGCAACAGCTGCACCAAGCAGGGAGAGGAGGATTATGGAGAGAAGAGTGAGAGAAAAGGAAGGAGAAAGGGAAAGGGGGCGGTAAAGTGGGGATGGCTGGGGGTTCCTGTCAAATGCAGATGACAAGTCTTTGGGGAGGGGGGGGGCTCTCCAGTTTATTTTTTTCTATTCAGAGCCCCCCCCACCCCCACCCCTCCTCCTCTTCACCATTGTCCCTGTATATGACAGCTGGAGTTGTCAATGTGAACAGGGGGCAAAAAAAATTAAGGCTGCAAGAAGCAATGCCGGGGTTCAAGCTGTGGGCACACTGTGCCACCATCAGGACAAATTGGACACATCGCTCTAGGATGAGCTACTTCTGTAATCCTTACCATGCTTGCCAAAAATCAGAACTCAACATCAACCAGATCATGCAATATGCCTTTGATGTATTTTGGACCATTTGTAAGGATGTTGACTACTTTAAACGTCTTCTTCTCCAGAACTACTGGACCGATCAGCTCCATATTTGGTACATAGCATCTATGTACCCATGTCTTTAAACGCAACATTTTTTAGCTCAAACAAGATGGTCGCTATGTGCCAATGAGCTTGCATGAATGGTGTTTATTTTCAACAGTGCCACCATGCGGCCAAACTGAACCATACTTTACAG